TTTGCATCCCGAACACTTTGCATCTCCTGGAACTTTTAGCAGTGACAATTTCATTGTTTCTGGATTGCTGAGCTCAGTGTTGAAAAGTGTTCGTGGCCTTGCCCTGAGTTCTGCCAAACACCTCTTGAGGTGGCACTTCAGAGGGTGAGACCCCTCTCTGAGCTCCTCCAGGCCCTCTCTGCTGCAGCCCTTTGACACCAGTTCCCTCAAGCATGTGCAGTGATAAAATTCCCCCTCAGATTATCCAGTGAAACTCACTGCACCTCCCCACCATCCTGCCAGCCCCAGTTGTAAGAACTTTAGAGAATTGATTGGAGCTTGTTTGACAAATCTGCTTTTTTTAAACCCACGCTGGCAGGTGTTAATTATCCTGTAGTCCCTAATTTCCTCATCATTTCCCAGCATCTTTCCAAGGCAGTTGGGAGCAGTTCCTTAGGTTTGGGAAACATTCCCATGTGTTTTGCTGGGGCCCAGGAAGAGTGGGGGAGCTGCTGGGAAGATGTGGCTGATGGAGTGGCCACTCTCACTTCAACAGCACCCTTGGGGCCTCCCAGCAGTTTTACTGGATTCTCCCTTTCAAGGAATGGGCACAGTTGTGCCTTTTTTCATGTGTGAGCATCCCAACACACTGAGGAATTGCTGCTTTGCTAATGGGATGGCTCTGTGCCAGCACTGGTGTGACGAGGTGACACCAGGCCCCTGCTCTAGGAGTGACCTGTGACCGAGGAAAATGGACAGAAATCCAGTTTTATTGTTCCTCAGGTGACTCCACACCCATCCCAACATTCCCATCCTTCCAGATAAGTGTCCAGCAGCTGGTCCTGCTCTCTGCTGCCTGTGGGCCCTGGTGAGGTTCTGCTGGGTCACAGGGACACTGTCCCTCTGGGCAGGCCTGCCCCGTGCCCATTCCCCAGGGAGGGGCCGTGGGGATCACAGAAGCACACAAGGAACCAGGCTGGAAAATACCTTTGAGATCATCAAGTCCAACCTCTGACCAAACACCTCCTCATCAACTAAACCAAGGCTCTGGCTCGGCCTGGGGATATCCCTCCACACCCCCCAGGGCACTGGTGCTGGCCAGGGGCTCCTCCTGTCCTGAGACAGGCACCAAAGTGTCCCTTCTGTCCCATTTGGGATGTCCTACCCCCATCAGGGGTGGTGCCAGGCCACCAGAGCCACTTTGGGCCGCCACCAGAGAAGCTGAGAAGGTCACCCAGTGAGGCCAGTGAAGGTGGCTTGAGTGAAGGCTGCTAAACAGTGAGCTCTGCACCTGAGTGCTGCCATCAATTAATACAGGGAACAATTAACACTAGGAACAGTGAGATTTGCTGTCTTTTGAGGTAAGGATTACTCCCAGCTTCATCTCTGTCACCACTTGCTCTCAACACCACAAATCCTGACGTTCTCCTCAATAACTTTTATGGGAAGGGAAGAAATTAGCTAATTCCCCATTGCTCCATCCCCACTTATTAGTGCTACACAGAATTGGGTAATTATGAATAGAACTGCCAGGCAAAACGAAACTTCTCCCTTAAAAATGAATTTTAATTAACTCTTCTGGGCTCATGTGCTCCTTAGGAAGTGCTGATGGTGCCTTGCTGACTGAGCTCTGCTCACACAGGAGACCACAAGCTTGGCCAGAGGGCTACAAAAGGGCCTAGCCTTCCCTCAAGACCCCCCATGGAAGATGAGGGTGGGGTGTTGCTCCTCAAAGCTTGTTTGATGTACTAAAATTTGATATACTAAACTTTGATCTACTAGAGTTTGGTCTACTAAAGTTTGATCTACTTAAATTTGGTCTACTAAAGCTGAGCAGCAGAGTAACAGAAAGATACAGAATCATTGAATTACAGACTGGGTTGGGTTAGAGGGGACATGAAAGCCCATCCAGTGCCACTCCTGCCATGGGCAGGGACACCTTCCCCCATCCCAGCCTGGCCTTGGGCACTGCCAGGGATCCAGGGGCAGCCACAGCTGCTCTGGGCACCTGTGCCAGGGCCTGCCCACCCTCACAGGGAGGAATTCCTTCCCAAAATCCCATCTAAACCCACTCTCTGGGTGTGAAGCCCTTCCCTGAGTCCTGTCCCTCCATCCCTTCTCAATTGTCTCTCTCCTCCTTTCTCCTTGGCTCCACTCAGGCACTGAAAAGCCCCAGTCAGGGCATCCTGAAGCCTTTTCTTTTCCAGGCTGGGCAATCCCAATATGCCAAAGACTAAAAGCAGAGCTTGGGGCTTGCTGAGTGAGTGGTGGAGAGGTGACAACCTCTGCCCCACACAAGGCAGCAGTGGGAAGGATCCCTGCAAGCCCAGCAATGGGGAATATGAAATTCTACATTTCCTTCCCAAAAGGCAAGGAAAAAAGTCCTGTCTTGTTTCCCAGCTGGACAGAGTGGTAAGGAAGCCCAGGTTCTGAGCTGGTGGAAATGAAAATGCAGTTTGCCCCTCTGTGGTGGCAGTGGGGGCTGCTCAGTCACACCCACCCCGATCTCCTTGGCATTTTCACACCCTGGAAGGGTGATGGGGAAAATCCTGTGTGTGTTCTGCTGCCAAGGGCAAAAGCAAAGCCCCTGTGGAAGCCTCACCACCGTGGGACATTCCACAAGTTCCAACTTTGCAATTCAAGGCTTTCTAGATGGAGACAATATCATGGATTATGGAGGCAAATTTAAGGAAGGGCAACTTTAAAATAAAACATTCTAGGTTTGTGAGACAAAATTTTACAGCAAATGGTAATGTCTCTCTGCTCCCCCTGCTTTTTTCCTGGCAAGATGATGAAATGCAGTAAATAAATACATAAAAATAATGAGTCTTCCAGACCTTGCAGCATTCATTTTAATAGATGCTATTTAACTACACACAGAATCACAGATATCTACCTTTCAAACGCTGGTTACAAAGATTGGGAAGGCTGCCAAGAAAATGGCTTTTGTTTCCCCCCAATAGATATCAAAAAGAAACAATTTATATGTTGAAATTGCCTTTATTTTTTAATCCATAAATAGTTGTTACTGACAAAAGTGGAAAAATCCTTAAGACTCTAAATTTTACTAAACTGATAATATTTTTGTTTACAGTACATACAGAATGTGCTTTTACAGGTAAGTATAACAACAAGAATAATACAGAGAAAAACAGTCAAATACTGCTCATCTTGAAGCTTGTTTAATGGTTAACCAAGAGTCTGTGCAAAGTTACAGATACAAATGTACTTCCTCTTCAGTACTACTGTATAATAAACATGGAATCCATAAACTGGGCTAAAGCACAAAAATATCCACTTAACCCCTCTTAGGAAATATTGTCCCCCAAACTAAAAATATTACAGTAAGAAGTGTCTTTCTCAGAGCCAAGAAATTCTTGCTACAAAAGTGTCTCAGGGGTTTGCAGGCGGGCGGGAGCGGCGGCAGAGCAGAGGGTCAGGGGGAGCAGCTCCTCCCGGCAGCGGGGTGGGATGGAGACCTCCAGGGATGGAGAGACCTCCTGGGATGGAGAGAGATCTCCTGGGATGGAGATAGACTTCCCAGGATGGAGACACCTCCTGGGATGGAGACCTCCAGTGATGGAGAGACCTCCTGGCTTGGAGACCTTCCAGCACAGAGACCTCCTGGCTTGGAGACCTCAGATGGCCCTGTCCAACTCTCCCCTCACCCTTGGGTGAAGCATGTTTGGCTTTTCCCCAGTGGGATTTGGGAATCTCTCACCACGGAGAGAGCTGGGAATGATCCCTTCTCCCACCTGCCTGTGGACACACAGCACAGAAGTGGCTGTTCCCCATGGAGCAGCCCCAACATGGGCTTATTGCTAACAACACTTGCTAGGAAAATATTTAAGCCCCTTTCTCACATATTTCCCTTCTTTAACTCAGCTGAAATACACCTGAACAAAAAATCTACTCGTGCTAAAGGTATTTCAGCACAACCCCTCCTTCCAGATTAAGCACTAAATCTGAAACTAAACAAAGACAAGCTATTTCTCCATGAGCTGAAGATGGCAAAATGATCACAAAGAGAACACATATTTCAAACATAAAATTACCCTGTTTCATGGTGATTCTGTTTGTGGTGGTGGAAGAAGATGAGGATATCTTCCCAGCTACCAGAAACTAAACATCTACAAAAACCTGATGCCAAGCTACTGCAGATTCCTGGTGGGAATGCTTGTGATAGAACAGAAATGTGCATGTGGGGAGCTCAGGTTCCTGGGAGCAGCTTTGCAGCCAGCCAGGCTCAGCAGACAGAAATTAAATCCAGGCCAGGGAAGGAGGGCTTACTCCCAGACAACTGTCTGTGTCTCTTCCCACCCGCCCCCATCCCCAAGTAACAGATCATCATTTATAAAAGGAACATTAAAACATTGAAAAATATTTCTTTCTTTTTTTTTTTTTTTTTTTTTTTTTTTTTTTTTTTTTTTTTTTTTTTTTTACTTTCCTTAAAACATGATTCACTGGCATTAGAAGGCTTTTTATGACAAAGTTTCTGTTCCGTGTGGTGCTGTGTGTGGTTCATTAAAAATAGTTTTCCATGTTTCAAAGAATGATTCAACGCAGTTTGGAAGCTTTGATTGGTACAGGGTCATCAGAAGGTGTTGATTGCATTTTACAGTATGTATGTGTATATATATATATATCTATATACACATACACAGAGAATTGTATAAAACCCAGTGCAGCCATCCCGGATGTGTTGCTGCCCAGGGAATGCAAATAATTATCAGCTTGTAGGAAATAATATAAACTTTTCTACATCGCCCTCCCCCAGTCCCTGCACATGCACTCTGGGAACTGGACACTCCCCAGGTGTTTGTTCGCACCTGTGGGTGGAGAAAACACAGATCAATTCTTCAGAGTATATGAGATTAATCAAGGCAGGTTATATTTTGCTGTACAGAGGAATGTGGCTGCTTCCCGCTTTTCTCCTGAGTGCAAGATGTTGTGGTGACTCAGACATGAGGAGAAGGAAGCAGGAAGGTCCCAGCACAGGGAACAGCATCCTTTGGATGCTGCCTGCCAGGACCCTGACCAGGAGGAGAGCAGTGGGAATCTGGGCAATCCCACCCCAGCTCTCCTTCTGGGCAGAGAGGATTGTGACACATCACACACGATGTGCCAGGACAATGACAAACAAGATTAACCAAAAACACTTTGCTGCTCTACAGTTTCTGTTGTGAGAGGGTCTCAAAGCGTTCCACAGACGTCTGACCCCTCCATAGAACTGGAAATTCCCATTATCATCATCATGTGTGGACCACGGGGAGCTGAAGTGCTGGGGACCAGGCTGTGGGTCATGACACTCGGTCCCAAACCGAGCGTTCTTTCAGTGACAAATTCTCAGAAGGAGGAATAAGGGGAAAAAATGACCTAAGGACACCTGTGTGTGCTCAAATGCCACTGCCCCAGCCACCAACCCCTTCCAGCACACGGAGTGAGCTGTGGGAACACATGGTGCCCAGGTGGCATCCAGGGCACAGTTCCTTCCCAAGGAAATTTGACGAAAATTTTCTGTGGTGGTGGCAGAGTCCCTGAAGAGATTTGGCCTAAAAAGGCTCCTTGTGGGACACATCTGCTTGAAACCGTTGAGTGTGTGGAAAAAAGACAAGGAAATGAGGCTAAGATTTCTCTGGAGGATTCTTGCCCAGGTAAGACACGTCAGCAGAGGGCCTGTGATATTTGTTAGCTGGGACAGGAGAAGACACAGAGGTCAAATGGCCCAGGCACAGCTCAGCATCAGCACAGGCTACTTGAACAAAAGATTTCCAAATTTGCATCTGGTCCAGCAACTTCTTAGTTCACAAACAGAACATTTAGATGAGGACTAGAGCTTGAGACACACAGCTATGGACATGGAAAGAGAGGAGTGTTCACCTACCCACGGCCTCCCACTGTCACCGCTTCTCCAGCTCTGCCACCACAGCTCCTGGAGACTCTGCAGCGCACTCTGCCATCCCACAGAGTTCAGATCTCCCTGGCTCTGCTCGGGCCAAGCGAGAGTGGAAGAGCCCCAGAACCTCAGCAGGGGCTGCCTCCCCATCAGCTGTGAGAGTTTCTCTTCTCTTCACATGAGTCCCACACTTTGGCCTGTGGGAAGGTCATCAAGGGCAATGTTTTCACAGGGATTGTCTTCTGGGAGGAAAAATCCAGCGACTGAGCCGAGGAGCTTGGAGGTAGTCAGGGAAGAGTAGTGTCCATCAAGGGAGGGGGCAGGAGGTGAGGTGTGAGCCTGTTCTCTCTCATCTCTCCCATGCCATGAACTGCCACCCTGATCCACAGACGGTTCTGGTTGTTGCCTACAGTGATTTTGCCCAAGGCTGCAGGATCTGACCCTGGAGACTGTAATTTTTTTATTCCCTCCCAGCTCAGTTTCCGTCAAACAAAGCCCCAGTAACCTCTCACTGATGGAGTCCTTCTCAACACAATCTCCATCAGACGGGGCAGGATAAAGCTCTGGAAACAGGACCAGCTCCAGGACAGTCTGGGGAAGAGAAAGGCCACCTGGACACCGCACTGAGGCCCACCTGTCAGTCCCACTGGGGTAAGGACACGTGCTCCTCCTACCTGCCCCTGGTGCTGCACCAAAGCCTCCACAGGAGACTCCCACTCACACCCTCCAATCATTGTTTGCTACAGGACTTGACACAGTTGGGCTGGGAATGTCTTTAAGGCCAGGAGGTGGGAGGTATTTGAGGGGAGGGAGGAGGGCAGAGCAAAGTTCAGTGAAGCCTAATGAAGAGCCACGCAGGAAAAGAGTCCATGTGGGAAAGTGGGACACGAAGAGAAGTGCACAGGGATGTGCTCACAGCCTGAAGTCATCTCACCCCGAGGAGGGAGCGTGTCTGCCCGGAGCCATGGGGGGTGTGCGTGTGCTGGGGCCTCCAGGGCACATGGGGACAGTGTCCAGCACCCACAACTCCAGCACTGGGTCTGGCTAGCCTTCAAACCCTCTGAGACCCTTTCCTGGCCACAGAAGTGTGTTCCGGTGGGAGTCAGTTCTACAGAATTTGCTGGGAACACAAATCAAAAGGGGGAAAAAAAGAAAAACCAAACGCAAATCTAACAAAAAAAAAACAAAGCAAAGCCCAATCTGTCTGGAAAGCCAAAGGTAAAACCCTCACAAATTCTGGACCCACGAGTCTATGTTTTAAAGATTTTACAAATATACAGTATCTAATTAGCGTTATATCAGATATACAACATGCCCATTAATTATAATTATGCTGGATATATAATTTATATGCATGAAATGTAACTGTCTTCATGGTTAGGATTGGGACTCAGTGGAATTGGAATTTGGAAGGTTTTCTTGGGAGGCCATTGCAGGGAGAGAAAACCATGGAAAGTTACCGACCTGCTTTTCGGTAAACAGACACCCTCAGCTTTGTGCCTCTGCTAAGGGCTGGAAAATTATTTGCTACATATGGAGTTCCAGGCTGTATATGGGAAGAGAAAATGTTCAGGGGAACTGGGGAACTGGGCCGTGGAAAATGCTATCAGGAATAGAAACCTCTGGGGAGAAACCCAGGCTCGGTGGCAGCCTTGCTTTGCAGGGGTCTCAGTGGGGTCAGGACCTCCCCCAGCACAGGTCAGCAGTGTGGAGCTGAACGGGTTCTGGTGCTTTAGGTTCAGCAGTGGCAAGAAGCTGGAGGAAGGGAAACCCTCTTCCTCCTTCCTATTTACATGTTGGAGACACCAAGATACTAGAATGAGTGGAGAAAAGGGTCTAACAAGCATTTCAGCATATTTGTGCTTATTGAACACATCAACCCCACTACTTCCTACACTGAGAGAGCAGGCGATTTGTAGGCACTAGTATGTTTGTATCTTATGAGTATATTTAGTATAAACTAAAACTTTATTTCTCAGCCAGGCTATTCTTGTCCCTAGGTCTGCCAGTCCCGTAGGAAAGTCTGCCCTTGAATTTGCTCCAAGGGTGACAAGGAACAGATGTGTGGGTGCTGGCGGGTGTCGAGCAGCCTGGGGGTGACCCCAGCGGCCAGAAGTTCCCTACTTGCTACAGAAACATGAGGACCAAGAGTGAGGCCCCTTCCTGCCAGGATGGGGGGGCTGCATTTCCTCCTCCCTGTCTCAGGCTGCTTCTCCTTGGAGCAACTGAAAAGTCCTGAATTAATGGAAACTATGGGATAATGCAGGTGAGCCCTTGGAAGGAGCCATCGATTACTATGGCTTTCTTTGACAGAAACTGATGCACATCAGGAAATTTCCTCCGTTATCCCTCACTAGTGTCTGACTGCTGCTTCAGTTCTTCCTGTGTCACTGATGAAGGGGTGGCTTTAAAAACATCGTGGGTGGGACTGTCAGAGAAGTCCTTGCAGACACTGAGTTAGTAGAGGTTATCTTGGCCTATAAGGCCACTGCAGAACGGGGTGCCGTGGCCACCCCAGTCCTTAAGGAGTATCTACAATGCACTGGGTCATGTCAAACAGTCACCTCTGTTTTGCTGGCGGTGCGGTAGTGGTGGTGGTGGCCGGGGATGTAATGCAGCTGTTCCACCGTGTTGTGCCGGCGCGAGGCGAACGCTTGGCGCTTGGCCGAGGTCGGGTTCATACTCAAGGTATTGTACAAGTTATTTGAGGCACTGGGATGGGACTGCATTTTTGACATCCTGTAGCGATCCAAGACCGGTGTTGACACAAAGACATCTGTGTGTGACAATGCCCTGGACATGGACTGCTCGGGGTACCCCGACCGCTCCGGGGACAGCAGCGGGTCCTGGGAGTGCAGGCGCTCTGCCGACAGGAGCTGCTCGTCTGAGAGAATCCGTTCGTAGGACATGCTGAACTCCTCGGGCATGATCCTCTCAGGGGACAGCACCCTGTCCTGGGACATGGCCCTGATGGGACGGCGGGGCCTGTCCCGGTGGTTGCTCTGCTGAGACATTTTGATGACGTTGATGGGCAGCGTGCCCCTGGCTGCCAGGTCGGGCAGGTGTCTCCTCCTCATGTAGTACTCGTCAGCCTCTTTGTCAGCTGTGGGAAGGGAAAGGGAGAGGTTAGAAGTCCAGGGTGCTGTCCCAGGGGTGCAGAGGGGCTGTGCACGGCAGGATCTGCCTCCTGGTGACCCCTGAGGGACCATCTGCCACAAGAGTGGGCAGCCCTGCATGTGTGCTGTCACCAAGGGCTTGTGGCAGACAGAGGAGTGTGAAGTGCACGGGGACAGTGCAAGTCTCTGGGCAAATTAAAGCAAATTTTCCCAAACCAGGACAGCAACCCACACTCCTCCATGTGCTGTGGAGGCCAGACCAGGTACCACACCATTTACATGAGAGGTGAGTTATGGAGAAATTCCCAAATGTCACCTTTGCAGGAAGGAACGGGGCAGGTGACACGAGCAGGTGAGGTCCCTCTTCGAGGACATGCACACCTCATCTCCGGCCTCAGACATGGGTATTCCCTGGAGCCAGTGAGTGACCTCATCACATTTTAATCACCACATTTAAATATTTGTAAATGTGATCACAAAACAGGTTTGGTGGTCATGGGATGGTCTCTGAGACACTGAATCACCTGCCTGAGGTTTTGTTTCCCATTTTTATAATCAGCCTTGGTTGATATCATTGGATTTATCCCATGGAACATTTCTTGCTCGGTTTGCTGCTCCTGCATCTTAAATAATGTCTCTGCTGCTCTGAAATGCAGCACACACCCCCCACACAGTCACCCTCTTTTTTTTTTGGCTTTGAGAGAAATGCTGCAGTCTCAGAGAGGTGTTTCAGATTTTTTTAAAAAGCAACAACAGAAACACAAAAACTTTCTGGTTAATCCCTCTGATGTTCACATGCTGTGAAATGGGGTACTGGGATCACTTACCTGGAAGGAGGCTTGGCAGCCCTTGGGCAGCCTGAGGTGCCCTGATGTGTCTGTGGCTGCAGAGCTGCAAAGCCCAGAACACCCATCCCTCCCAAAATTCCACTGTCACAAGGGGGAGAGCACAGCTCTGGCCTCCTGGGGCCAGGGCGTGGAGTCACATTTAATGTTCCACACTCATCCCTGTGAGCCTTCTGCCTCCTTTCTCTCTCTGAGATGTTCTCCTGATGTGACCAAATGTGTCCCACTCTCTTTCTGGCTCCTCAGTGACTCCAGAGCCCCTCAGAGTGAGACCCACCTGGCAGTAACTCTCCTCTCCTTGGGTAAGACAGCACCCACGTGCAGCAAGGCATTTCCTTTCCTCATGCAAAGGTAAAGGAATTTCCTGCACCTCACGGAAGAAATGAGGCTTTTTGCACAGTAACCTCACAGGAAGAGCTTGGCACAGAGCCCCCAGAGCTGGGCACACACTGCAGCCAGCATGGACCTTCCCTACCAGGCTTGAGCCAAGTGCTGATGGGCAAACACATCCTCTCCTACACCAGCCAGCTCCTGGGACTGACATAAAATTTCTTTTGGAAAGTCATTTGCTTAGAAGACAAATGTGATGAAGATATATGATAATAAAGAGGAGCTTTTTTTGTTTTCTTAGTTCCAGTATGTCAGTCCATGGCAGGTGATGTAAGACAGGAAAATATCAGATGGTGGAAGAGGAAAATTCTCCATGCATGGATATTCTGAGGACATTAGAGTGACAAAAAGAGCAAAGCTCTGTTGCAGGACAGTTGGGGTGATCATGGGGCAGGTGAGGTCGGCGCTGCCTCTTCCTGTGCACCTTCAACAGACCTGGTAGTTAAAAAATGGTGGAAATTCCCTCTTTCTTCTGACACAGCCATCACTCTGTAGGTTTTATGCACCACACTGGCTGGGAGGTGAAGACAGCTGGCTGCTTGTCCCATGAGCCAGAGCTCACGTGGTGGGTGCTGAGCCGTGCTCACAGGACACCAGCTCAGCCAAGCCCTGCAGAGCTGTCACCACCCTGTGCTGGCTGAGGTCCCTCACTTTTGTCCTCATCCCCTCTCCCACATCTTCCCTTCCCTCCCACGCCCCTGTGCACAGCCCAGACCTGTGAGGAGCCGGGGTTGGTTCCCTCTCTCACATCCAGTAGGAGCTGAGAACATCTGTGCTGCCAGTGCTGCTGCCAGCCCCTTCCTCACAGCCCACACGCCCGTGAGGTCACCACAGCTCCCCTGGTGGGATTTGCTCTCCAGAGCACACACTGCAGCAGTGAGTCTTTCTTTTTTGCCATCCAGCACTTCTCGGAAGGATGTCTCACTGCAAATGTCAGGCAGCAGCTCTCCTGGCCTTGAGTTCTCTTGTGTCTCTAAAATCAACTTCTAGGGAGCCTGAGGGCGGGGGAAATTCCACATGGCCCCAGGAATTGGAGGCATTTTCACTCTGTTTTGGCCGTAGTTAGGAACACCAGGCTGGGTGTGCACAGGCTGCAGAATGGGAATGAAGCAATTAGCACTCTGGCACTTGGCCTCTGCTCTGGATGAGAGGAGTTCCACCGGATTTGCCCAAGTGACTCTAAATAGATGTAATTAAAGCACAGAACTTCCCAAATGGAGATGTGCTTGGATGCTCACACCTAGCTCTGGTAATTGCCAGCAGGAGCTAAACCAGCTTATGTGAGGTTTACAGCTCTGAGGCTGCTAGAGAGGTGGCACCAGCAGCTGGTTGGAAGTGTTCTGAAGTTGTTCCTGAGATTAAAAAGGCAGCACCCTCTACATTTGAAGATGCTTTAGGAGCATAAAAAATACCTTTTCTTTCCCTCTCCCAGCCTGTGGTCCTTGTACAGGTCTGCACTTTTGCTGGCCAGAGCTAGACCTTTCAGGGAGCTGATTTAATATCAAAGATGCTTCTAAGCTCACTCAGGCCGTGCTCCCCGTGATGCTGAGGAGGAGGAGGAACATTTCCAGGTGTGGAAAAATCTTCTCATCTCCATCTCAGAGGAGTCAGAAGAGGCGGAACAGCCTTGTGTCACACCCAACAAGCTGCTCGAGGCAGCACCAGACAGACATTTTCCAGGCTGTTGGCTCTGAGAGGGGTGTCAGCCTGAGCCAGGGATGAGGAACAGAGCCTGGCAGGAATGTGCTGCATCATCCACGTGCCTCGTGCCAAGGGAGAGCTCAGCACAGCGCTGGAACTGCAGAATTCCTGCACCCAGGGACAGCAGAGAAACAAATGCAGCTCCAGGCTTGGGAGAGTGGAGCTGCAGGAGCTTTGCCCACCTGCTGCAGGTGAGAAATGTGGAGGTCTGCTCACACAGTTGGCCAAAACCAGTTTCTCTGGGAACTGAAATCTTGGAATCATAGAATAGTTTGGGTTGGAAGGAATCTTAAAGATGATCCATTTCTAAGCCCCTGCCATGGGCAGGGCCACCTTCCAGGCTGATTCATGTCAGCCTCAGCACACCAGCACAGTCCCTGGGACAGCTGGGACCTGGTAACCCTGCCCTTTATCAGTGGTGCTCACATGACAACTGCATTCGCAATTTTAACCAAAGTAAAACTTCAATCCAGTGTGTTTCTCCAGCAAGGATATGCTTAAAAATAAAAAAAAAAACTGTCTTAAGAGGATTCCAAAAAAGCAGGAATTGTAAGCAGATATAAAGGAATCACTGGTGTATTGCTTGACAGGATTTTTTCTGTTTTTGAATCAATCCCATACTTCTGGGTCTTGTGTTTTTCAAACATTTGGAACTGGAATTACTGGAAATTATGCTTCCTGCACATTTTCTGGGCTTTTTTCACTGGTTTTGGTTGGGATTTTACTGCCCTTTCTTTCCTCTTTTGGCAGTTTCTAGAACATCACTCAGGGCTGGTCTCACCAAACTTCAGAAGTGTTTGAATGCTTCAATTGCCTTGGCTTCAGGCTAAGCAGTTTTGCCCTCAGGCAGCTTTTTTGGGGTTTTGGTTTGGTGTTTTTTTATTATTTTTTTTTGTTTGTTTTTTCTCATTTGGAGTGAGATCCCCAAATAAATGCTCGTAGACATTCCACCCCAGCCTAAGCTGCTGCTGCAGAAAGGCAGAGCAGAGCTCCTCTGGTGCTGGAGTTGCAGAGAGGAGGCGTTTTGTGGTGCTGTGGGAATGGAACATGGAGCACAAGAGCCAAGGCTAGTTTTAATTCCTGTTCTTCTACATTATCATGGTGAGAATAGATGCACGTGTGTGTGCATGTGAGGCCATCACCATAATTCCTCTCCTTTTCCTAAAGGTAATTTTCCCAGCTTTTTTCCTCTGCAGCTCCAGCAGGTTTCCCTCTCTGGGCTTGTCTCTCCTTGTTTTAATTGGCTTTAACATTTCCAAGCTGCCCAGTCATTTGTGATGATTCTCCAGCCAGCACCAAGTGGTTTAATATGCCTGAAAATAGGAGCTTCCTTCCTGACTGACCTTTCTCACTTAGCTGAGAAGAGCAATTCCCTGGAGCAGCAGGCAGGATGGAATTAATCTGGCTGCTCTTGCTCAGCCACATCCTCACACTCTCCCATCCCTGCTCTCACCCCAGCTGCCAGGGGGTGCCCAGCCCCTCAGAGACCCCCAAAACAACCCAGGTGAGCCAGGGAAATAAAGAACCCTGGTCTTTCACCATCCATCTTTGCTAACTGGAGGAAAATAAGTAACTTTTCCCTGCCTGGCAAGCTTGAAGAAATCCAGACAAGCATCTGAAACATAGATTTAAAAAATATCTAATGCTTTGGTCAGATATAAGTATTTGTTAATGATCTTTTCATAACTTTTTTTTATTATTATTTTTTTCTAACCATGACAGGGAGCCCATTGGAAAGGAATAATTTTAAATAAAATAATGAATGTCCAGTAAGTAATATTCAAATGACAGCTTTTAGATATTGCAGGTGGTTATTTGTTTTTGGGTTTTTTTGTGTGTGTGTGTGTGTTTTTTGTTGTTGTTGTTGTTTTTGTGGGTTTTTTGTTGTTTATTTTGTTTGTTTGTTTTTTTGTGTTGCCTTTAACTCCTTCATATGGAATAAGAAAATTGTCTCTTGCTGGCATTTTACAAAGGGAGCTTTGGGAGCCTCTTTTGCTTTGACTCTGAAGTAGAGCAGCTCTGACACACACAGAGTGTAGAACAGAGCATGGATCTGAGCATGGAACAGGTCCAGAGCACAGAACAGGTCTGGACACACAGCATGGAACAGAAAGTGGATCTGAGCCTGGCCCAGGTCAGGAGCAGTTCTGACACACCCAGAGCATGGAAATGAGCACTCCTGGAAAAGATGTTCCCAAGCACCTTAACATCTTTCTGTTCTCATTTCCATCTGCCCCTGTGGCTGAGATCCCTGCCCTGGCTGTGCCAGGGGCAGCTCTGAGCACCCAAAGGATTCTGTCAGAAACAGACCTGAGCAGAGGAGTGGGAGCAGCACAGCAGGGTCAGCAAGCAATAACCACATGCACCCTCCCAGAAATGAAATGACCCTCTGCACTCATCCCTGATGGGAAGTGACAGACAAAGGATCAATACTGGGGATGCCAGCCTGGGACTGCCCCACCAGAGGGACATTATTATTCCCTATATTTATATTTAATATAAAATATTTCTATATAATATGATATTTCTTAATTATTCCTTAATGCTGTGCCAAACAAACCAGGAGCAGGGTAATAAAACGAGCTGACACCTACTGAGCCTCTTCAGAGATGAATATTTACTGGGGTTTGTCTTGACAGCAGACTCGTAGGACGGCGGGAGGTGGGAGAGGTTCTGGAAGGAGCGGGAGAAGGACAGGTCGTAGGGCTCGGTGGCTGAAGTGAGGATGTTGTTCATTCGTGGCTTGTCTGTAAAAAAGCAGCAGAGAAAGGCAGGTCTAGAGGGTGCAGGGAGTGATGGAGAGGGGCAGGATGTCCCCACAGGCCCCAGCAGGGAGCAAGGCTGGGCCCAGCCAGCCCCAGGCACAGCTCTTGGGCCTGACTCGCTCCCCTTCACCCCCTCAGCGACACAAAACCAGTCTGGGATGATCTTTTAACTGGGGCTGCTGGTCCAGCTGCCCTCTGTGGGGCACATTTCTCATTAGAGCTCCAGAGCCAGGGCTCGGGGCGATGCTGCTCCACTGGGGACAGGAAACCCTCCTGTGCTGGGATTTGGAGAGGGGCCGTCCTGAAGACTAAAACCTGCTGATTATGTTTCCATAGGTTTAGTTATTTCCCTGAAAGTTCTATAAACACAAGTTGTTTATTGCATTCCTTCTAAGAAAAATCTTTTGATGGACGTTTCTCATGCCCAGTGTACTTGGGAAGGTGGTAATTTAATTATCCAACCCCTGGTCATTGTCGAGAATCTATAAATACTGGAGTCAGAGAATAAAGGTTCTGCTTTCCTGTTCTGACACTGGAAAGTGTTAGTGTGAATCATTTTGTGCCCTTTAGTGACAGAGAGGGGCTGGGGGGACACACCTGGGGGCACTCAGAGGGCAAAGCAAGGGCTTGGAGAGGTTCCCGAGGCAGGAATCCCCGTCCCTGTGGGGTGGAGGATGCCCCTCTACTGATGTTCACTCTGTTGGTCACTGAGGGGGTCCCCAGGCAGGATCTCAGTGCCCTCTGTCACAATTCTAGTGCTGAGGGCACTGTCAGGAAAGATTAACACCAAGCCCAGATGCTAAAATTGGCATTTTAAACTTTAAAATTAAATTTAAAATTAAATTTTACCATTAAAAGTTTAAATTTAAATTTTAAATTTTAAAATTGAATTTCAAATTTCAAATTTTATATTTTAACTTTTAAATTTTAAATTTTAAATTTAAATTTTTTAATGTGGCAGACTGTCTGCAGGGCTTTGAAAGCTTGTTCCTTTGCTGCAAGCTGGAAAATGGTCTTTCTTTCATCTTTCATCTTTCAGCCCAGCCAAGGGAAAGGGACCTGTTGAAATAACTCCCAGGTGTTCAGATATTAAAATGGGCAGATATGAAAGTATTTAACAAAGCAGAAACTTCAATTATTGGAAGCAAAGCCAGAACAGACACCTCTGTCAGACCCCACAGCAGTGATGGGGCTCGGTAGCTGAGGCAAAAGACCAAGGAGGTGGCCACTCCAAGCACGGTCTGAAAATGAAACCAGAAGGGTAAATTCTCGGGTAGAGCAGCAGGATGTGCAAGCCTTGGGGTCCCACGTTCCTGTTCCATCCCTGCCGTGTCCCCGTGGAGAGCAATGTGTGATCAGTGTGCGCTCACCTGCCCCGAGCCCTCCTGCCTCCTCTGCACCATGGGCTGCCTGAGATAAAGGCACAGATTCTGCCCCAAAGTACCAGAGCAGCGGGGGAGTTTCACTGGGAAAGCTGCTGGCTTTGTGCAGCGTCCATACACTTGCTAACTTCTCCCATTTCACAGAAAAAAAAATGCAGAACAAAATCTGCCCGAGTGCAGACATTTCACAGACGTTTTTCTAGACCTGAGTCATAAGTGAATGTGTTTCCTGCAAAGAACTTCTGTAAGAGTGAGGCCATCTCCTCCCCTGCTGCCTTTCTGCCATGTGGAACCCTGTTTGTTGGACAGCAGAACATTTTCCTCCTCTCTGAATTTTTCATTTCACCTTGTCCTCGCTGTCCCTGCTGCCTGGAAATGAACCCAGCAGTTCATCTGTGTGTCTGCACGGGGATCCAGAGCTGCTTCCACAGCTTTTCTCCCCCTGTGACTTCCCCTGGATATTTTAAACCTCCTGCCAGCCACCCTCAGCACTGCACAGTGTCAAAGGCAGGCTGAGGCAGTCCTGACTTCCTTACAGAATTCAGCACTGGTGAGAAATTCCTCCTAACAATGCAATAACCACCTCGGCTCATAAATCTTCTCTCCCGTTCCTTCTGTTCCTCTCTGCTCTCCTGGAACAGGTTCTGGTGTGGCAGAAAGAGCACAGCCCCAAGGGAGCTGGAGTGTCACCTCTCAGAGAACATAATTTCCTTGCTGATGACTTCAATCCATGTCTAATAGACTGACTGCAGGATCAGGGAGTGCATGGGATTCATCAGGGGGCTGGAAACAATTGATTCGATGTTATCCAGTAAACAGAGCCTGGATCAGCATTGAAACCATGTCCCCACTCCTACTCCTGCTTGTGTGGCAAGGACCCCGGGGTAACATCTCTTTGCAAATTCCTCAGCCAGAACCTGTAGCTAATCTCCATTTTCATGGAGGTTTGGACATGCTGCAATGAGCCCAGTCACAGGCACGGAGCTTGTGCTGGGTGCCAGAGCAGGAGCATTAATTGACTGTTTGCATGGGGTGTGTGAAATTAAGTGCCACCCATTAATCTGATGGGCTGGTGCAGGATCAGCTCCTCTTCTTGCTGCTTTCCCCATCCAGGCAGTCAGGAACAGACCAGAATTATTCTGGCAAATGAGAAGTCACCTTGAAATCCACTGCCCATCACTCAGCAAAATAAGGGATAAACTGAAATGACCAAAGCTAATTTCAGATGTCTTTTGCATAATGTAGTGTGAGGGGGAGATCAGAGAACTGAGGCGCTCTAGTAAGGAGAAATATCTCATGTAATTTATATTCTGAGGCCAGTTCAGCATGAGTTTCTCAGCAGTTTTTCACTCCTGCAATATATTTGAGTCATGCTTGTCTCTGGTCTCTCTTTGGGGTGTTTGTGGGCTCCTATGGAAGCTGCAGGTCATAATCAATAATCAGGATGCAAATGAAATGTCCCATTCCCTGCAAGGCAGCTGAGGTTGTACACAGTGTTCCCAACATTCCCACTCATCCCAGTCCCATCTCTGGGCAGCTGGAAAACGAGCTCTGTCCCATGGTACTGGGATTATCTCTGAAAGACAAGTTTGGTTTCCCCTATTCCTCAGCACCATCCTGCATCTCTGTGATGTTCTGTGCCCATTTTCTGGCACACCATCCATCCTGGCAGGGATTGGCAGAGGAACAGGCAGGGGATGAAGCTCAGCCAGCACAGAGGACACACAGCAGCCACAGGAACCTCAGCCATTGCTCTTGGGTTCTAAACTCTCCTTGCTGCAGCCTTGGAACAGCAGTCAATGCAAGGCTTCAAAATTCTGCTGTGTCTCTGATGAACTCAGCAGGAATTCAGCTCTGCAGCGTTTCCTCACCCTCCAGACAGCCGTGGTTGGACTCTGGGCAGGGATGCTCCAGCTGTACCTGGCACAGCCCGTGCCAGGGCTGCCCAGGCTGCCCCACGCTGGCACAAGGAGCTCAGGAAGGGAGCAGGAATTCTGTGGAGCTCAAATCTCTCCTCCTGGAGCCCCACCAAGCAAGGTGGGTGCATTTCTTCCAGAGCTGCCAGGCCAGCCTGAACCCTGCTGTGTTTTTATAGGACCCAGAGCATCCCTGGGCCAGGCTCTGAGAGGTTCCTGCTCTGCTCACAGCCTTGCACAGGGCTGGGGAGGGGCTGCCCGTGCTCCTACTACATCCTGGTGATGCCTTAAGATTTATATTTTTTCTATTTTTCAGATCCTGCACTGCATTAGTGCATAACTGAACCCCATACAGAGTGTCAGCTACTGTCTTCACATTTTGGGCAGACAAAACAATCCCTCTGGGCCTGAGATCCAAGGACACACCACAGCCTCAGGGCCTGAGAAGTATAAAAAAGTGAACTGGGGAGGAGCAAACAGGGGGAATGTGACCTCATTACCTGAAGCTGGAATTGGAGAATTAACCCTGATTACAAATTGACCAATTTCTGTATTTCTGCCTGAAAAACTCATGCTGCTTTGTCACCTAAGAGGGAAACAAAGCCCCTCTGTGCTGAGGCAGAGCCTCATTTCTCTGCCAGTGCTTTACAACCTCTCTGCAAGCTCAGGGCTCAGAGAAGTTTCAGAATTTCCAGAGCTGTGCAGATTAGACCTGAAGTCTTCTTGTCACATCTCTCTCTGCCCCTCTTGTTGGAAGACACTTTCAAAGTGTGTTTACATGAGGCACAAAACCTTTCATGTTCAAGGACGGGAGCAGATGATACCCAAAACAAAACAGAAACCAAAGTGAATTGATGGCAAAGTTTTACACAAAGCTCAAGTGGCAAAAGGGATGTGCTGCAGATTTGCATTTGAGTCTGCACATATGTTGTGCGAATTCTGCAAGACATTTCAACAGATGCCTTTTAAAACATTCACCCAGAGAAAGCAAACAATGTCACCTAGGAGAAGCTGCTACAACCCAGCCTTCTGCTGCTCAGCTTCAGCTCAGCAGAGCTCCAGCCCTCTGTCAAAGCTCCCCCAGCACTGCCTTCTGCTCAGCACTGAGCTGCCTTTGAAGGCTCAGACGCAAAGTCTCGGATTCTGACGCAAGTTCTTACAAAGGGCCCCATTCCTCAGGAAAATCTGGTAGCGCTGATGATGTTCTGGAGCTTTCTGTGCCAGGACTCAGAGCTCCCAGGCCATGCTGAAGTGACATGCTGTCAAAGCAGGCAAAAGAGCTGATGGTCACAGACTCAAATTAAAATTTATAACGTGCATCTTCAGTGTTTGTGTTTTCACACTTCCGTTTTCTCGTGTTACAAACACTGTTATTAATAGTGCTTTGCATTTCTCATGACTAATCTCCAGGAGGTTTCTACATTTCCAGGTCAGATCCTCTGTGGTGTAAATCAGAGCTCTCCAGCGAGTAGCTGCCCTCATTTATATGAGCTGGAGAGGGAGGATTTTAAATTCAGCCAGTGTTCAAAACCCTGTGTCTGTCAGGATGGCTCTAGGATCGGGTCTTGCAGAGCTCCGGGCTGAGAACTGAGCAGCAGCCCGAAGCAGGGAGGTGCAGAGGGAAGGGATGCAGCACAGGGGTGCAGGGTGATGCCCTGGGATGTGACAGTGACATCCCTGGGTG